CTATTTCTGGCAACACTGCTTCCCTCAAAAAAATGTATAGCCAGCAACACATTACTTTTTTTTACAAAATATTTCAGGTATTAAAGCCTATTTTTACACTATCATAGCGTTTTAACACCTTTTAGGGGCTTAACTATTTGCCCATACCTGGGACCCTAACATAGGGTGGGCCTGGGAACACCAGCGATTAAGAGGTGGTTCCACTCTCCTCAAAACACCATGATCAGAGGCCTTAGTTTATCATTTTACCCAGAAAGCGGATGAAGTTTATCGTCATACCCAGGATGGGATAATAAACAGGAATGAGAGAATAAACGGAAGTGGTTTATGAGCAATAGATAGCAAACTGGAGCTATGATTCAAGTAACAAGAACTTTGTTTCTTTGTTTATTGACACATCCATAGAAGAACAAAGATATATATATATATATATATATATATATATATATATATATATATATATATATATATATATATATATATGAAGAAATATAGTCTTAAGGTGTGCTATATTTATGAGGATAAAGTGCTCAATATCAGAGATAGAGCGTGTGTAAATATTAAAGTGAACATAGAAGTCAACACTTAGAGGCGACAGTCTGTTTCATGCTAGATGCAATCATCAGGCCAGGAGTCGTGGCTTGACGATTGCATCTTGCATGACTGTCGCCTATTGACTTCTATGTTCACTTATATATATATATATATATATATATATATATATATATATATATATATATATATACACACACACACACACACACACACACACACACACACACACACACACACACACACACATGGCTAAAACGTTCGCTTTCTAAAAATGAGACCCGGGTTCGAGTTTCACCACGGTTGATTTGTCAGGAAGGAGACTTCTTGATGTTATCGGTCTGGAGGGGGACAATCCCACCGTGCGGCACCGTTGGAAAATGCTTGAAAACAATACCACGGGTTGACCCAAATTATTGATCACGCTAGATAACACGCTCTCTCCCAAAAACTGTAACTAAGGTGTGCTCAGCATAGTTGCAGTATAAACCAGAGGTTCATACAGCAACCATTTGCCTGAGCGAGCGTATGCTTTAGGGAGTGGACAGCCGCCCTAATAAACGGGTATTCTCGAATATGAGTGGCCAGCTATTATATATATATATATATATATATATATATATATAACACTCGGATAGTCAATAAAATATAGGTGAGAAGGAAAACAGCAGTTAGAAAAATTGCGAAAGAGGCTCCTCTCGAAATTCGTTTTCAGAAAAAGCGCAATTTACTGCTGTATGCACATCTTTGGAATAATCCACGTTAACTTTTCAACCCTTTGCAGAAGAATCCATTCTTACACCAACACACTTGTCATCCAATCAAAACACTAGTTCTGACAAACTCAATTTCTCATTGGCTAACAGCCTGAAAAAACTAAGTATGCACATGAAAAATGCCTTTGGCGCTCAAATGTGTTTGAGCCTATTTTTCCTTTCCAGAACCTATAAAAGAAAGAAACCAATTCCACGCCAGTTTAAACTTTGGCATTCCCGCGCGAATTAACCTCTGACTCAATAACCTTTTGGCATATTCAATCTTTCTTTTAAACAAACTTCTCAAAAATTAATTTACTTTACTTGAGACAGTGAAATATATATTCACTACATATTAGTAACAGTAACAAACAAAATTTTTAACAATTAACAGTTTAAGGTACGCAACTTCGTACAACTTAAGAATAATTTACATAACACTCGTATACACACTTTTGTACGTTGAACAGCAAACTGTTTAATTCTTACAACAAACCATCAAAACACTGATTTAAGCATTCAAATATACTCAACAACAAACTACATGTCTTATTACAACAATATCCAACAAATCACCAATTCATAACTCATTTGTATATATTTAAATTGTATATAAATTACCGTATTGTTGTGTATTTTACTTGTTTTTGTTTTTAACTCTGCTTTGCATGACCTGTTCTAAATATTCGTTTATTATTTGTTGTTGATGAATGTTAACGAACACGCCACCGAAAATTACTTCTGATTTAACCAAACACATTCACTAATCCCCAACACATCCATTAATCTATCTTACACCTTCCATCATCAAATTCGTAGGTGATCTAAAAAGAAGGCCTACAGTCTGTTGTTAATGGGGCAAGGAATGACTGTTAAATTTACGATCTCCATGTGTAATACAACATTTAAATAATACATATATATATATATATATATATATATATATATATATAGAGAGAGAGAGAGAGAGAGTATATGCATGGTACGTAACTGACTGATATATATATATATATATATATATATATATATATATATATATATATATACATATATAGACATATATATAATATATATCGAGTAATATTGAAGAATATATATATATATATATATATATATATATATATATATATATATATATATATATATATATATATATGTATACACTCACTTTTGTCTTACCAAACCATGAATTATGGCATGATGTTCATTCAGATGATTTGGCTGACCTTTCAACTGATGAATATTCATGAATATTCTCGAAGTTAGAGCGCTGATGAACTAGTAACTTATAACTAACACGTCTACCAAAGTAAATCCTTACATTTACCTTGACAAATCCCTGAGACTTCAAAACGCGTCGGCAAGAATTGTTTTTCCTCTTGTATATATATATATATATATATGTGTGTGTGTGTGTGTGTGTGTGTGTGTGTGCGTGTGTGTGTGTGTGTGAAATACATAAAAATGAAACTCAGTTGTACCCCATTTTTATGGCCATTTCTCTCCTCGGGATGAATTTCCTGGAGCTTGACAATACTCAAACGTTTGCTAAAAAATCAATCGTAACTATTTCTTCTTTTTTTTTTTATTCAAATTAAAAAAGGACAGGAAAAAGAAGAGAAAAGAGAAGAAAACATAGAAAAAAAACCAAACAAATAAGGGAAAACAACTTTATAAAAGGGAGATAGTAAAAAAAAAAGAAACACCCAATTCGAGAGGGGGGGTACAGAAAGACAGAATATATATACAAGTCGAGACAGAAGTTAAAAACGTTTGAAGATTAACAATGCGCTATATTTAAAATGTTAAGTGTTGTCCAATTAAGAAAAAAATTAAAATTGGAAAAAATTTCATAAGAAAATTCAATCAATAAACTTAAGAAAAGGAAGTGTTATAAAGATTTTAAATAAAAGAAAAATCAGAATTTAATATTAAAACTATTATTTAATTTCTATATTAAACAAAGGAATTTAATATTATAATAAAAAAATTAGACCTTGTTAGCATATAAACAAGAAAAAAACTGAATATTGGAAATAATAAGATAAAGGCAGAAATATATATATATATATATATATATATATATATATATATATGTAGCAATTATAAAAATTCTAATACTCTGTGCAAAAACTAATTCATCCACAAAACAGATTTTTTACAGTGAACTAAAGAATATAAAACAAACACTTATTAATTATAGCTTTCCAAACTACATAGTTGATGAACAAATAAAATCAAATGCATACTAATTATAAACAAGCTGAAACAACAGATCCTTGGAAAAAAATTAAGTTAATCATATACTACACTAAATCTAGTATATCCAACTCAATTATTCGCAACGATTCTTCCCCGCCCGTTAGCGATTTGCAGTAAACCCAACATAGTTTACAAATTCAAATACCCTCTGGGAGATTGTATCTCCAACGGATTAAATAATATTTATGTTGATCACACCACAAACTCGCTTTCACGACGCTTGACACTACATTTGAATGATAACTTTTTAGGCATTTTAAAACAACATGCCTGGCCGCATACACAATTCCGGAAAATTCTCGTTGAAAACACAACTATACTTAAACATGAAAACAATAAACAAAAACTAAAAATTCTTGAAGCTATTTACATAAAACAGTTGAAACCTAACCTGAACAAAATAAACTATGAAAACTCCACAAATATACTTAAATGCTTATAGTTGATAACAGGAGCTATTGGTTTATATCAAAGGCTTTCCATATTTAATACTTTTCTTCGTTTTTCACTCTCACGTGGTCATCTGTGATGCCATGTACTGCAATACAATACTGCTTCGTGCGTTTCATATGCACGTATTTATCGTTGCATAGCAATCTTCCATGCAAACAAAACAAACTACCATTGTTGCAATGTCCGCATAGCCAATCTAAAACAAAAAATTACCATCTTTGTTATTTAATTTATTACTTAATTTATTGTAATGTACTTGTAATCTCTGATGGTGGCTTATGTAATACGAAAGCTTAAACAGGATTAACAATAAAAACATGTATCAACATGGTGATTTTCTTTTCGTATTTCAGGGTTAATACTAAAAAGCTTATTCGACAATATGAAAGGAATTTACTTAAAATAGACAAACTTGTCTATATTATTTAACGAAACATGCATTAATATATATATATATATATATATATATATATATATATATATATATATATATATATGTATATATATATATATATATATATATATATATATATATATATATATGTATATATATATATATATATATATATATATATATATATATATATATATATATATATATATATATATATATATATATAACGTAGAATAATTGTGTGCAACTCAGAATGAAATTTGTCGAGCAGAGTTCGAATTCTGGCTGAGTTCGTTGCATTCACACATACACACACACACACACACAAAAGGCAAGTGAGATTTTGACTTGAGGCCAAGCGAGTTCGATCTTCCTATGCAGTGCCGATCCAAACTAAAATAATTCTGTTGATGGTTACTCTGATAGAACATAAACTAGTGAAAACATCATACGGAAATAGTCATGAGTGGAGTCTCATGGAGTGGGTAACATGTCCTGCAAATAACGGTGAAATTGCAAGGAACATGGCACACAGGAAAACTGAATCATTTCTCCGGTAAAGATACCGGATTTATGGTTCAATTTCAGAGATAGAAAGAGACAGACAGACAGGACCAGAGAGTTAGAGAAGGACACGGAGAGTGAGGGAAGAAGACAGAGAACAAGATAGAAGAATAGGGTGAAAGAGAAAAGGACATAAATAGAGAGTGAAAGAGAAAGTTAGGGAGGCAGAGAAAGAGACAGAAAGAGAGACATAATGAGTGAGTGAGAGAGAGAGAGAGAGAGAGAGAGAGAGAGAGAGAAGGACAGAGTGCAAGACGAAGAGAGAGAAAGAGATGGAATGAGAGGCAATAATCTGAAAAGCTTGCCTGAAATATTCCCAGCATAAAGTTTGCTTTATGTGATTATTACAAAGGTGTTGGATCATGTGCATTAACAATGAAGGTAATTAAGCTGAAAAATAAATATTCATTGAGTAAAATAAATGCCTTGTCTCTCTTTCCTATCATTATGCTCCGGACTTGTTCACGGATCTACGGATTTTGTAGAAAGATAATTATTTTATAGATTATACACGAAACAATACAGAAAACCTTTCGTCATTAGAGGCACTTTTACCACATGATAATGATTCTTTGTCATTTACTTAGAATTTGGGAAATGGATCGATAATTTTTTAGCACCCCTCATCAAATTCTCCACTAATTTCATTTACTGAAGTTTACAACAGATACATATATTTAATATTAATAGTAGCTTAGAAGTTCTTTTTCCATAATCTTCATAGTTAATTTGATAATTACTGGATTATTTTCTAGAGCTCTCTTGTGCCATAACTAGTTAGGAGTAGTCACTAGATACTTGAGACCATACCATAGAGCTATGGTTTCGAATTACATCTCATCAACCATTCACTAATGAATAAGGCCGATTCTTATTGAGTGTTTCATTAATTCTGAGTGTGTACAGGAAAAGTTACCGTACAAGTCGACATGGCGCACAAATCGACTTCAAGATTTTTAACTGAGTTAAATGCAAAGGCCAGAGTCAGAATGGTCAGCGATTGGCCGGAATGCTTCGTGGGCGTGGTATTCTGACAGTGATTTATTGCCTTTTTCTAGAGTTTGGAATATGTCCTAAACGGCGCGAATTCAAAGGAGGCCGGCAAGAACACGGAAATGTCATACGCCTCCCACATCCAGTTTGAAAAACCAACTAAAACCACTCGCAGAGGGCGTCATTCTTCCTGCTGCTTCTTAGAATCCAGGTTGCTACCACTCCTTCTTTAATAAACGAATAAGAAAAAAGAAATAGTCTTTTTCTTTGATAACATTTCATGTAGTAGCGGGGGGCCCCAAAAACGACACAGAACGCAACACTATACCTACAATATAGGTCGACCCTCAAACATATGGTAGGCTACCAGTGGGCCAAATCCTGCTGGTAAATTAAATTAGACTACAGTATACGATAACCTATGCCAAAACTACACAACGTCACACCGATTACCTTTATATTAAGACGCTGACCTTAATATCTTTTTTATATGTGTTGTATAGCAAACAATTTATAACACATGCCAATATGTACCGCGTATATTGTATCAGTATAACTGTTATGGGATCTTACCCATGATAATAATAATGGACTATTCCATACTTAATAAACACTGCGCCTCAGGAGTAGGCAAGGAGGCAGTAGTTCAACTCTGAACCGACTGTTCTGTTCAACTCTCTTCCTACGGGCGGGAGGAACCCGAAGGAGGCTACGGGAAGGTAAAACCGGCCCAGAACCCGTTTATACGGGTTCAAATGGGCTATTACAGCCGACCTAATGGCTCGGGAATGCCCACGTTAAAAGGCCTTGTGCCAAATGACACCCTCGTGGGGGGGGGGTGACTGAATATCGTCAGTAGTCCGACAGTCGATGTCGGACGGGCGGCTGAACGGTTGAACTCTCTGCTTTCGGACGGGGAGGAACCCGAACGAGGCTACGCCTCTTTCGGGGAGGTAAACCGACCCTGAACTACGGGTTCAATGGGCATATTTTGGCCGAGCCCACGGGCTCGGAGATCCCACGTTAAACCGGCCTTGTGCCCGCGACGCCCTCGTGGGGGTGACTAAATACTGTCAGTAGTTCGTGGAGTCAGTAGTTCGAGTCAGTCAGTAGTTCAAGTCAAGAGTCGAGTCAGAGGCAGTCCGAAACACAGTCGCGTTCAGACAATTACTGCAAGACATTGGAATAGTGATACTGGTCGGGACTACATAGTTCTCCCTACTAAACCTGATTGTTCATAATAACACTTTCTAATATATTCCTGTTTTTGTAATATATCTGTGTTATTCCATATCCGTGTTCGAGTTCTTCTTTATTGTTTTTAACTTGGACTATCACCTTGGTACAAGGAACCGGACCATAACAATAACTTAGCGAGAATTACATTTCTCAGGACTACACATTAAAATCAACATCAACTCCTATTAAATATTAATACTATAGATTACCCTTCATAGTTTTTTGATAGTATTTCAACGTATCGTATATTATTGTAAAACACAGTATCACTCATCCGCCATTTGCATCAGCTGTTGGATGCGATTTATGCTGTAGGGTTAAGAGAATATTGTCACTATTTCATTATTTTATATTAATTTCTGTGTTAATGCGCCGAATATGTTTACCAAACACAAATCTTAGTGGGATATATTTGTGACAGCCTGCTGGAGGTACTGTAAGTAATGTATAATAATTGTTAGGAGTGCTGTCCAAATTGTAGTGAAGATTTGCCTTTTATATCCGCCATATGTCAAATTCTAGTTATGGAAATATTATTTTAGACTTGAAAACTCAACTTGTACGCCGCAGTTTACGCTCAGCTTAATACATAAATGGTTTGTTTAGAAAGTATGAAATTGGTTTAATATTAAAACAAAAATAGACGACCTATGGAAATGGCGTCAAAGAACATTTCAAAGTTTGCTTTTTTAGATTTCCTATTTTTCAATAAAAAAATATTTCGAGGTCACTGTCAGTTTCTTCATTGCTTTCTTCTTAAAAATACCCATTGTATTTCAACAGGGAATTTAGCTTTGCGAAATGCCAGATTGCTAGGGAGTCAAATACTTAATTTTTTTTTCACAGTAATGTCCACTCTGTACAAGACGCAAGCGCCACGAGATGCAAGTGAATAAAAACGTTCCCGCTCCAAAAAGACTCGCAACACTATGAATCGTAAAGAATTTCCTAATTTGTTCGTGTTAAATGCGAACATTACACAGTATACTATCTAGCTCCGTATCATATAACTTTCAGTTGATTAACTCCAAGGACGAGAGTCAGTTAATAAATGCATTTATCCTCTAATGGTCAAATTTCATCAAGGCTGCGCAACCGCTTCTCGAGATATTCAAAATTGTTTAATACGTTGCAGAAAGACATCGCATGAACTGCTGTACAGGGATGGCTAACAATTTCATCTCCCAAATATATATGAATATATTCATATAATATAATCTGTCCCTAATACTAAAGATTGTTAACAAGAAAAGACTTCTGAACTGTTACGTGATAACAGTTCTCCTATATGGCAGTGAATGCGGGACAATCTCCTCAATGATGAAGAATGGACTTGAAGCAATAGAAATGTAGTTCTACAGAAGGATGTTGAGGATACCTTGGATCGAACATGTAAGCAAAGACAAGTTTTAGAGAAAATGGAAACAAAAAAGAAACTTATTTTTAACATCAAGAAGAGACAGTTAAAATGTCTAGGGTACACAATAAGGATAAATGTCTTGTAAAATCTGATACTCACATGACAGACTGAAGTCAGGAAGGACAGAGAAAAACAACGCATAACATATTTAGTCAGTGGCTGAACAAGGTTTCGAAGAAATAACAAAAAGATAAAATTTATTAAGGTCTAAAAAGGACGGAAAATTGTGGAGAGCCATGATCAAATACTTCCTGAAGGGACACAGAAAGAAGAATAAAAACAAATTTGGGACACCTAGTGAGGACTGAAGTCATTTAAATAATAAATGTTTGAAAACTAGCATTCCTAGATGTTACTCTACAGAAAGACTCAAGGTCTGAGTTACTATTGTTTCAGATTTCGCCAAGTTTAGGAAATCTGTACAGTTCTTTAAAAATATTATTGTTTAATGAAAAAAACAATCGGAGAGAATCCATTCTTACTGACTATTCTAAAAGGTATGAAGTATATTTGCGAATTAAACATAGGAAAAACGGATTCTTTATTGAGTAGGTGTTTTTTTATAGGCTGAAATGTTTGGTATTAATCCAATAGCCACCTCGGCAACACTCGCGCTTGACCAAATTGCTAAACGAGATAGGAACAATAGAAACGGTAAATACAGGTTCCGGTTCTGGTGCATTACACGCGGGTATTCTTCGTCAGCGTACAGCCACTAAATCAACCTCTTAAAACGAGAGGTCAGCGATCAATTGTAATTTTCTTCATGTCTATGAAATGTGTTCGGATTTTGGTAGAAACGTGTGTGCGTGCATCTCTATGTGTCCGGGAAGAATGTTGGTAAATTAAGGTTGATCGGTGGAGGGTGGGAAGTTAGCACCTTGCTCTGGGAGTTGGAGATTTCGAATAGACCTTTGCCTAGGTGTGCGGATCGATATGAGGAAAATCGATTTGCGACGTGGAAGAAGATCTGAAAAGGTTTAGTTGTGTGTGTCGAGGAAGAAAGGTAAAAGGAGTACAAGACGTATTGATAAGATGCTGAAAAGAATAAAATAAAGAGAGAGAGAGAGAGAGTGATGGAGAGAGAGAGTGAAGGGATAAGAAGAGAAAGAGATATAGAGAATGAAATACAAAAAGAAGGAGAAAGAGAGAGATTAAATAAAAGATGAAAGAGATATAGAGAAAGAGATGGAAATTTAAAAAAAGAAGAAAGTGAAAACAGTGACTGTAAGACAAGAGAGAGAAAGAAAGATAGAGAGAGAAGAGAACGAAAGATCGATATTAAAGTAAAAATAAAAAAAAAACAAAAGGAGAAAGAAAGAGAGAGAAGACAGTGATTAAAAGAGAGATCATGAATAGAAGATAAAAGTGGAGAGAAAGGGAGAGAGTAAATAAATGAAAGAAATATAGGGAAAGAAAGAGATTTAGAGGAGGAAAGACAAAAGGAGTGAGGGAAAGAGGGAAGACAGTGAATCCAAGAGTGATATTGAATAAGACAAAAAGTAAAATAAACATAGAAAATGAAAGAGAGACAACGAAATTAAAGAAACCTATACAAAGAGAAGATAATAAATATTAAAAGAGACCGAATGAATAGAAAGATAGAAAAGAGAAAAATAAAATGAAAGGGAGATTGTGAAATGAAAAAAAAAAAAAAGAAGGAAGAAGAAAGAGAAAAAGAGAATGCCGGAAAGATAGTGAATGAAAGACGAGAGTAGTATGAAAGGAAGAATACAGACTGAAAGAGAGATAGTGAAAGACATACAGAGAAGGGAAGAGAAAATGAGCGAAAAAGATGGAGAAGATAGAAAAAAGAGGAGAAATATAAAGAATGAAAGAGAAAATAAGATATTAATGAAGCAGGGGGAGTTAAATATGTGAGAAGTAAATAAAAAAGACGTGAAGAAGAAGGAAATTGAAAGGGAATATGGAAAAGGTGAAGAATAAAAGAAAAGGAAAAGAAAGAAAAAGAAAAAAAGAAAATGGCAGAGACCGTTATAAAAGTAAAAAAAAAAGAAAAGAAAAAGAGAAGAAATGAATAGAAATAAAGAAATACTAAAATGCGAGAAAGAGAAAAGAAGAATAGATGATGACAAAGTTGAGAAAAAAGAAAGAGAAAGGAGGGGAGAAGATGAAGAGAAGAAGATGAAAGAGAAAAAAGATGAGAAACGATAAATATTTACGAAAAGAAGATAAGAAATACAGTAGCAACACCGATACCCTGAAAATAGACATTTTTAGATATTAATATTAATATTACTACTACTACTACTACTACTACTACTAATAATAATAATAATGGAAATAATTCCCTTCATCGACCAGATGCTTTTGCAGGAGGTCAAGCTAAATTGAAAAAAAAATATAGTTCTGACATAGATAGCCTAGAGAAAAGCGTACCACATGATCCCACGTGCCTCGAATATTTTAAGATGTTCAAGATTAACAGCAGTAAGATTTATAGCCAACTCTATGAAACATTGGAATCTAGACTTGATTTCCGAAAGAGATGATAAAAACGATTATTTTTTTCTTGTGAACTCCTTGTCTCCATTACTATTTGTCATAGCCTTGATGCCATGAAACGTAATCTTTTTTTTTTTAAATATCAACTAAGGACACCAGTACATCAACACAGAAGAAAAAAAAAGAAAGAGAAAAACTGTTTAACGTACATGGATGAGCAGAAACCGTATGCAAAGATGGAAAACAGCGATGCCATTGGAATGGGGGTTACGTGTATAGAAATATTGCACAGGACAAGCAACATTTATTTCGGAACAAGCAGAGTTAGTGAATATAGAAGAAAAAAGATGTGTTTTCTCATCAGATTTCTGTAGATTTTAGATTAGGAATTGTATCAGTAATGACAGACTTAATCATAACTATGTACGCAGACAATTTTCAGAAGAAAACTGAACTGAGATAACGAACAAATTGATAAAGAGAAAAAGGAAGAATTAACTTTAAGAAAACTGAAAAAATATGCGTGATTTTTAGTAAATAAGACAACCTAAGATTTGAGGTACACACCAGGAATGTCAAAACCCAAAAAGATGCTGTTTTTTTTTAATTATTTATTTCTACTGTTTTCAATATGACCCGTGTGTGTCAAATTCTTCAATCATTCTTTCCGTTAAATTTCAGCTTTTTCTGATTGTTACAAGCAATTACTTTGCAATTTTCCGTGCCCTTAAAACTGACTTGATTCTCACACGGGCCACTGTAATCTCAGCATTTATCAATAGAACGATATAATTGTTGCTTCAATTCTTTTCTTTATTTGCGAGGAGATTGTCTTGTATTCCCAACTAGAGTTTAGATATTGCAAAAAGAGTCAGTTGCTTTATTTGTTTGGATATTTTTTGTGGATATATTTCATCTCAATACATTTCGTTATCCTATCCTTGGATGGGGTCGAGCGGATTCTCTGTAAGTCAGCACCTACCTCACTCCCTCCACATGTCTGGATCGCATGCCAACGTTTGAAACTCGCCTCCATTAACGTGAATGATCTTTCAGAACATACAGTGACATCTATCCATTTTTTTTGTCTACCTTCTTTTGTGTAAGTCGATACCATATACCATAGCACTGGAAAAATTGTTGTCCCTTCTGACCTGGTCATACCATTTCAAGTTTCTCTTCTTGACAGTGGACATGAGGTCTTCCAACGAGTTTGATTCTTGTCTGGTTTTGTTTCTCGTTGCGTCAATTGTGATGCGACCCCTGTTGAAGATTCCCAGGGTTATTCTGTACCATTTCCTTTCTAATACTTAGATAAAAAATAAAGAAATGATTGGAAGGGAGGAGACGAATCCATTTGGAATAGGGAAAATGATCTGCCCATACCAAATAAATGTACATGCACAACACCTGTCTTTGAAATACATACTAATTAAGCAATTTAACACAAAATTTGAGATCTTGTTATGAAAAAGTAATACACTTGTTCGTGGATTTTACATCAGGTAAGATTGAAAAGTCGGGAAATAGATGACCCTTACAAGAAAATGATCAAATTCTGGTCTATAAAGGTGACCGTAGTTATCCGAAATCTTGGATCAGTTTCGAAAAAAACTTTGAAATCAGAGTAAAAATCGAGAGCATTAATAAAGCCAGTCAGTATACGCAGAAAAATGCTAATAAGATGAAGGGTTCTTTTCTATCGCTTGATATTTATTGCAGATCAACAACTACCGAGGCTCTGTGAAGACACAATGTTTATTGTACTCGCTGTTGTCATGAAAAATGACGACAATTAGAAAGACGCAATGAGACAACATTTTTCAACAATGCATTGAGTTGCAATAAAGCTGTGATAAATAATTCACAACTGAAATAGCGGCCAATGAACCATTTAATTAATCCGTTCACTTCAGTTAATGATATCTATTATTCATTGATTACTCCTGGCATTACGAATCGCGTTTGGTACAATATCTTTTTATGTAAAAATTTGATGGGTTTAATAT